GATTTTATATCTAAACAAAGAAAGTTTGCATCTGAAACTAAATCCAAGCTTCCTGTTCTAAGCACCTGCACCAAAATTTGATAGTTAGATTCCACTTCGGTTACTTCTTTGTACATACTCAAAATCTCCAAGCTGTTGATAATCGCCATTGCTTTTGCCTATATGGGGGAAGTTGCTGTAGACTTGCCAAAAACTGCAACTATGACAACACCATTTTCATTCCTTAGAACTGCTCCAAAACTTGACCTTCTAGGACCCTCAAAACTCCCATCCATGTTTAATTTAAGCTTCCCTGGGCTTTCCAAAAAGATGATCTTCCCTCATTCGGGTTTGGATGTTGAAGTGAAGAATCTGAAGATCCTGCTTGGGAAATCATCACTCTCTCCCTCCACATCCTGTAAGAAGATGCTAGAGTGACTCTAGGGGATGGGTTAACGTTCTCAAAAATTTTTCTGCTTCTACATTTTCAAATATTCCATAAAAACAGAAAAGAAAAAGCCATTAGGTCCTCTTTTCTATCTTTGTTTGTTAAACAAAACTCAACCCAGTTTTGAAACCAAGTATTAAAAGTTGAGTTTGTTTTGCATGGTCGCATTCAAAAAGACAGTGCATTACAATTTCAGGATGTTGGTTACAAATAGGGCAAAAACTGTCATTTGAGAGTTTCCTATTATAGAGATTTTCCTTCACAGCTAGGGCATTTTGAGAGCATTTCCATATAAAGTTCTTGATTTTTGCGTCAATTCTTGTTTTCCAAATTTCAGCCCACTGATTTTTCCCCAGTCTAACCATAGCCTCAGTGGCTGGGACCCTGTTGAGAGATGTTAGGGCATAGGACCCGGTCCTAATTGTATAAACACCTTTTGGATTTAAAGTCCATTTTAACTTATCTTCCCACTCTCCCCTAACTAGGTTTATAACTCAAGATATTTTTTGTGATTTCCTCCCCAAAGATGTCTTCAACCACTCTTGTGTTCCACCCTCTACCCACTTCCCTCATGAGGTCCTTTACCCATATCAAATCAGGGTATGTCCTGGGCCCCATAATTTTAAAGGATCCTACATTTGTTAACCAAGGATCATCCCAAATCCTTACTTTTGTTCCAGCATTCCTTTCTATATAACCTCTCTTGCGGCTACCAGACTGCGCCACCCCTAAGAGCCTCTCTTAGGTAGACTATCAGTCAAAAAAATTCTATTTTTTAAGTATTTGGCTTTCCATGATCTTAACCTACAGATTATCTTCTTCCACACGTAACCTCCAAGCCTGTTTAGCCAATAAGGCTAGGTTAAATTCATAGGGATCCCTAAAACTCAACCCTCTTACACATTAATTTTTTCTTATTACCTCCCAGCTTATCCAATGAGTTTTCTTTTGTTTCTTAGACACACACACCCACACCCCAGAATCTCGATTGGATTCTCTTTAGGGAAAGGACAGCAATTTGGGTGGACCACTCTGAAAAAGATCTCTCTGTCTGGGTTGGTTTTTTGCCAAGGCCTTGGGTTAAACAAGGCTTGGTCCCCTACACAATTTTTGGCCCACCATTCATTACTTAATAGGTAGGCAAAGGTTCTTAGTGAAGATTGTCTCTCAAGCAGGGGTGATAATTGGGCGGGTTGCATTTGGGTTGAGCTTCAACACAATCCATCAATCCGTTAATGACTTATTTAAATAAATTAAATGAATTGAATTCAACCCAAATCCATTTTGATCCAATTCAACCCATTGACATTATAATAATTACAGTTTTATTTTCAAAAGCTAAAATCAGCCTACTTTTAACCCATTGACATGGTAAGAATGCTTTTCTTTTGCAGGTTTAAATCACATCACAGGTGCTTGGCTGAGCATGTCTATGTTGTAAGCACCAACGTCTAAGATGATATCATATCATTGCACCACTAGCAATAATGTACTGTTTTTTGAGAAAATATCAAATTTGGAGTTGTTTCATACCATACTTTTCCGATTTCCAAGGTATGGTCTAAACTATATTTTTTATGAAAAAACGGCACCAAATAAGAGGCCATTTTCTGAAGCACTGCGTTTTCTAACGTAACACCTATATGGTGTTGTTTTCTCAAAAAACAACATCAATGCCAAACACCACCATAATTGTTACATGAAAATTCAAGATTCAAAATTTCGTCAAGTATCGTATCGATGGGTCACCGATAGACCTGTTCATGGGCCAGGTAGCGCGATGGCCCGGCCCGCACACTGATCGGGCTTGGTCATGTAATTAGGCCCGCGGGCCTGACCTCAGGCCTAACACAGTAAGCCCGACTGTGTTTCGGGCCGAGCTCGGGATTTGTCAAAAAAGCCCGGCCTGAGCCCGGCCCGGCCCGACTCAGCATTATATATTTTATAAAATATATAATATGTATTTTATATACTATATAAAATATATAATACTTATTAAAATATATATTTATAATTTAATATATACATTTTTATTCTTTTCTTTACTCTCTCTCTCTCTCTCTCTATTCAGCCGCTAACAGTATGGGCTAAATTTTGGGCTCGGGCCCAAGCCCGGGCTTCAAGCTTTTTATGAGGGCCGTGCTCGGGCCCAAGTTGTAGGCCCGATGGTCGGGCCAGGCTCGGGCTCGAACCTTAAAAAATTTTGTTAATACAGAGTGAAAGTCCGGCCCGGCCCGACCTATGAACAGGTCTAGTCACCGATACGCGAAATATTAAGAATTTCAAGGTAAGAGCTGTTTCAGGGTGTAACTAGGCCTTTAACCGACCCCTGAACATATTTTGAATATATAAAAGAGTGTCGATACAAAGTCTGGTACACCCAATTTGGCTTATTGGACTGCATCGATAGTTTGAACCTTGTGAAAATTTAAGTTGAGTTAATCATTTGGGTTAATAATTAATGAAAGTTAATGGTTATAGTTAATGCATTTGAATTTAAATGGAAGAACAATGGGAATTCAATCCATGCTTGAACCAGCCAACCAGACCTATTAATGGTTTGAAAAGTGACTGACCACAGTTGAACCGGCCAATTAGATATGTTAGAGATCTAAAAACCAAGCAGACCAGATCGGTTGATTCTATTAATGCTTACAAATTGATTGTTAGAATTGGTTCAAATCAGATCAAACCGCTGAACCATTTGACTATATTCAAGTTTGGGCTAATTCGGGTCAGGTATGGATTGAGCCATATTTGTGCCAAACTCAACTTGGAATTTATAATGGCAATTAATCACAGATTGGGTTAGAGTTTATGCCAGATATTAATAGTTTCAGTTAATAATTACTTCTAGTGATTAGAAACTAATGCATTAATTATGAATTGAGAATTAATTACAATAATTATGAGTTAACTTAATAAGTTCTTTGAGTTCACATTGAAAAAATATTTATTTAAATTTAAATGAATGAACAATGTGAATTAATGAAAAAATGGCTAGTTAACTTAGGCTTATTTCATTGGTGTTTACCCCATTGGGTACCCGCAACCCAATCCAGTCCAACACATTAAGATGACCCAGGCACCCAGCAGATGATTCAACCCATTTCTAGTCCCCTAAGTAAATGAACAAAGTTTAAGTGGATCATGGTTTTTGAAACCGGACTGAAAAAACCAAGAACCGGTTATTTGATTGGTTCTGTTTTTTTTTTAAACCGTTAGTTTTAGTCAACAAATCGTTAAATCGGTCGTTTGACTGTTTTTCTTTTTGTCAAAAAGGGCCAATCATTCTGCCCGGTAACTGGACCCCTAACCGATTCGGTCACCAGGTCGATTTTAAAAACCATAAAGTGAATTATAAAGGAATTGATTAAGCAGGTTCAATGGGTTGGATATGAAATTGTCACTCTTACTCCAAAGAGGTCAAAGGTTTAAACCTCAAAGATCAGAATCATGGTTTTTTTTTTGGTAAGATGACCACTCTAGAGTGTAAAAGGCAAATGAATGAAGAGAAATGAAGCTTTCAAAACTTACGAAAAGATGAGGATAAATTATAGGCACAGATCCTACTTGGGCAGTCGTGACACTGCACCTCCAAACTTTGTTTTACAACAAAGACCCTCAGCTATAGTTTTGGATTCTAGCACTTTGCCCCTCATCACTTTCATCATTTAGTGGGTTGGGAATATTTCCAATAGGTACCCTGTATTTTAGGTTGAGTGTTAATTTAGTATCCAAATTTTAAAAAGTGATAATTAGTACCCGAAATTTTATTTTAGGTCATAAAAAAAAATACAAATCCCTTCAAGTATCATCTAATTTTCTTTAATAAGTTCTACGATGCTATCGTGCTTCTTCGCCTGTAAACAGTAGTCAGTACGCTCCACCAAGTGGCTGGGACGACCTCAACTGCCTTAGCATTTTATTTCCTGTTGTGGCCGGAAGCAGAGGCTGTGTGGACAATCACCAACGTCGACAATGGCCCTGCAGAAGTGCAGAGTACACAGCAAGTAGACAGATCGTCGTTGAGCCAGTGGCACTCAAATTCTCACGTCAATAAGCCAAGATCCCACTGCCCGCTGTCGGTAATGAATGGGGTGGGATTTCTGAAAGACCCGGCAGGTGCCAAACCTGCAACAAAAGTTCTGCTGGCACTATGCCTGGCAGAGTGCAATCGCCATGTGGCCGTGGAGGCGGAAGAAGTTGCAGAAGTGGTGGAGACAGTGGCGGAGCTAGAAGGGTCAGCACGGAGCGGGCTGCACCTTGGCCGTTCCAATGCTGGTAGAGATGGTAACAAAGATGGCAAGAAGAGGGAAAGAGCATGGGATAAGTGCTCTGGCAGTGATTTTTGGAGGGGTGGCTCCGCCGGATGAACAACATTTTCTGAGGACGAGTTGATTCCTCCACCTTATCATTCTGCAGAAAAACACCCATCCATGACTTCCACAAAAACTGTCACCCGCTTTGGCTTTTACTCCATGTCCGAGTAGCTTGTGAATTTTGTAACTTCTACCATGACTTCATCTCACAGCATGACTTGCAATCTTTCCATGGCGGACATCAAATCTCTTTATGTGAAAACCTCACCAGTAGCTTTTGGAGCTCTCATGACATATTTCAATTCTAGAGACAAATTATGGAAGCTCAAAACTCTCACAATATCACCACGACGGAATCGGTACAGTCCTCTGCAAGTAGTAACAACCACTTCATACATCTTCCCTATTTCCACCTCAGAGCAATCCACAGTTTCTTCAGCAATGCCATGGTTGACGACCAAATCAAAAGGAAGGAACTCAAAATAAGCTGCAGTAGTTAGCAGAACGTATCTGGTCTGGTCTGGTGGTTGAGTTCGATCCAAATTAATAGCAATACAGCATTCAGAAGCAAAGTAATCACCACCCAGAACAGGAATCTCCCCTGCGTAATACTTGATTAATGGATAATACTACTCCAGTTATAGTACTCACACAAGTAACATACCTCAAATTAGGCCATAGCTTGCCTAAAATCCCACCAAACTGTCGGCCTTCAAGAGCAGCTCGAATTGTCTTTGACAGTTCTGGTTGTGGACCACCAAGTAGCTCTGCAACAGCATCCCTCATTGAAACATCGGTGATCATCGAGCTCATAGATCTGTTTTCAAGATCGTTGCAAAGCTCCTCCCACTAGGATTCCAGGAGACGAAATGCTCTCATCAGAGGCTGTGTATTGGGCTCTTGGGTTATCGTCATGAAATGATGGTTTCTTGGGTTCTGTTTCATTTTCTCCAAAAAGAAGATGATGGACAGTGTTTTATTTTCATTGGTAATTTTTGACATTTTCAAAAGTCTTAAATCTCACATAAGATCAAGTGATATACACTTGGCCTACAATACAAGGTACCTATCGGAAATTTTCCCTTAATAAAACGAAATTACTAATTTATTCATTAAAGATTTATGAAACATCAGTACTAAGAACAAAGATAAAAAATACATCTATAACTTGTTTGATTTGGTGAAGGTCATCAAAGTCAATTTTGATTATATAACATGAAGTTGCATTTTTTCCTTTTATTTGCACATATGCATAACACGTTTCCTCGCATTAGCCCATATAGGATAAATTACTAAAACCTCCCCTAAATTTTGATAATTGTAATCACCTTTTCTAAACTTTAGATTATAATACTCTATGGACATGAAAATGGTTATTTCCTAAAACTTAAATTTAAGATAATTTCTAAACAAATAACCAACTTGGGAGGGTTTAAGAGATTTGCCATTAAAAAAAGAAAAACTAAATTAAAAGGATAAATTGGTCAGGCAACTTGGGGTTTTAAAAATACATAAAACCCACACGACAAGGGTTGTACGGTACGTGGAAATCACCGTCTTCCCAGAGGACAAGCGAGTACCCTCAGCCAATAAGCCTTGTGGGACCCGGTCTTGCCCACATCATGAAAATAACCCATGTAGTCCCATTAAGTAATGGAACATTAACGGCATTGGCAAATCCCAACAAGATCTAATAATTTACCCCACCCCACCAAAAAAGGACAACAATAGTTCTTGCCTTCTTGGCCTGTGCAATCAACCTTCTCCATGCCTCCCCGTGTTTGATGCGTAAAGCCAGTTTACAGAAGTAGGGTACAAAACAAAGGACTAACTGACTAAGGACACTGATCACTGGTGGCGTGACAAATACGGGATTCGAACACGTATCCACTAACTGCCTGCAAGCGAAACGTATGCGACCACCTGTGGCTGTGGAAGAAATCAGAATGTTCAGCTTCTTCTTTGACTTTTACCCTTTTTTTCTAATTTTCTTTCAACGTCATTTCCTGTTTTAAAATTTTAATTACCTGACCTGACCCCCCCGATCACTGTGAAGTGTGAACTGCAACGAGATCGGCTTAGTGCAAGGCCCGTTCGAACAACGTTCGAATAGCCTTTACAATATCTCCGTACATATGTCATGATAGATATTCCAAATGCAACGCCATAAAGGCTCTTCGAACGGGCTTTGCACCGACTGAAGCCGAGTTCAACTGCAACGTCCATAATGTATTTTAGTTGAGAAACACCGAAACACAACTAAAAAAACGTTAATTAGCACATATACATCATTGATGTTATGAGATTTTAAAAGAAAAAAAATCACAAACGTCTCACCCAGAACAAATTACTAAAAAAAGAAACCCTATATAATAATAATTTAATTTACTCCCACGCATAACACAACCTAACCTAACGGTCCGATCCTACCAGCCGATGGATCGATCAAAGCCGCATGATCAATCACAACGATTCCATTTTTGAGACCACGATTGGGCTCCGAACTACATGCTTTCCGTCCGACCAAGACAGCGAACCATACACAATACCCGAATCATCCAACACCATGTTTCGAGTGTTGGCCGTTACGGTCACTACAAAGTTCTGCTTCTTCACCATCTCCGAGAACACCAGTTTCACCGGCTTCACCGTCACCGATACCCCCTTCTGAGGCACCTCGATCTTCACCCTGTACACGGAATTTACAGGCCCCACATTCGTCACCGTCCTAATAAACAACTTGCTCAAAACCCCGCTCGAAGTGCTCGGAAATAGTGCCGTGATTGACGGATAATTCAGATTCTCCGGCAACGGTTTCTTCACTGGGCAAGTCGCCGGTATTCTCGTAATCACTTGGATTGTGTTCGGTAAGTAACCGATTGAACACAAGAAGTTTACGTAGTCGGTGGGGGAAATGTCATACACTAGACCAGGGTCCATTGCACGGTCCAGGTTAAGATGACCGGAGCCGAAATCGTACGGCGTTGCTGGTTTCCCGGTGGACTCATCGGTCATGGTCTGAAGACGATTATCAACGATGTTCGCAGTGGTCATCATTGCCGAACGAATCGCCGCCGGACTCCAATCCGGGTGGGCAGATTTCAATAAAGCTGCGGCACCGCTTACGTGTGGGCATGCCATCGACGTTCCGGACAAGATGTTGAATTCAGTTTTCCGGCTATCGGAATCTAATCCAGTCGGACCCACGGCGCTGGTCCAGGCAGCTAGAATGTTTACTCCGGGTGCGATCAAATCCGGTTTGAGTATCTCCGGAGTTAAACCGTTGGGTCCACGACCAGAGAACGAAGCCACTACTGGCGCGGGCTTGATACCGACCACTGTCCCACCAAATGTAATTGTGGCTGTCGGAAGCGAAGACGATGAAATGTAGGACTTCACCACATCTCCTTCGTTGGCACCGACAGCACAAGCTGGGAGCAGATGAGCGTCACCGACGAGGCCTTCACCGTTGGATACTCCGTTGGCGAGAATCATTCCCACACCGCCCGCTTTCTTGACCACCAAACCTTTGGCCACTCTGGGACTACTTCCGCGATCACAGACAACAATTTTCCCCTTAACGAGGCTGGGATCAAGAGAGTTCTCCATACAGAGTGAAGCAGAGAGCATCCCTGATTTACCAGGATAAACCAGAGGGAACATAGTTCCATTCAGCGATTTCCCTGAATAGAGCGATACGCCGGAGAGTTTCCGGCCATCGCCGAGAATTACGCTTGCAGGGAAGTTACGATCAATGGTACCAGCTCCAACAGTGGTGAGCCATGGTGCAAGGTTCGTCACCGACATGCCATTCGGTCCATCGTTTCCGGCCGACGATGAGACGAAAACCCCTTTCGAAAAAGCTCCGAAAGCTCCAATAGCAATTGGATCAAGGTAATACGGCGAGGAAATACCATCACCGCCACCAATTGAAATCGAAATTACATCTACACCATCAGCTACAGCACGATCAAATGCTGCCAGGATATCGGAATCGTAGCAGCCCGAGTTCTTCCAGCATACCTTATAAGCAGCTAATCGAGCCTTGGGAGCTACACCTTTTGCGATTCCGGGGGCGTATCCGTCCATGCTCGCCTCAAACGCGTGCCTGCCTGCAGCAGTCGAAGCGGTGTGAGTTCCATGACCGTCTGCGTCTCTAGGTGATCGAAACTCAATGGTTTCATTAACCCCTCCGACTCCGCCAGGTCCGCCCAATCCCCCAGCCGCGTCATGGCCTTTAGAGAAAAATCTAGCTCCAATGAGCTTCCGGTTACAGTGAGCTGAGCTGAACTGAACTCCAGCCTCGCAGACACCTTTCCACCGTCTAGGAACAGGGCCGAGGTTCAGATCGGAGAAACTCCGCCTCTCTGGCCAGATTCCAGTGTCAAGGACACCGATTATTACATCGGATCCATAATCGGATTCCGACCAAAGACCCTGCTGGTTACGAAGACCGAGAAATTGAGGAGAACGAGTGGTGTGGAGTTGCCGACGACGATCTTCAAAGACAGCAAGCACTGAGGGGTGTTGGAAGATGGAAGCAGCTTGGTTGGGAGTTACAGTTGCGGAGAATCCATGGAAGACTGTATCGTAAACGTGAAGGATTCGAACTGGATCAGCGAACGCAGAGCTGTACCAGTGATAGTGAGAAGGAAAAACGGAAGGCTTGGAATGTTCGTCCACACGAAAGATGAAGGTTCTGATTGTCTGATGAGTCGGGGTTGTTAGGGCTAGCAGGGGAAAAACGAAGAGGAAGAGAAGGAAAAGCAACTTGGGGAAGAATGCAGCAGCCATGCCAGGCCCAGGGGAGAGCAAGCAGAGAGAGTGAGAACTGAGAACCAAGACAGAGAGAGAATGTTCGATTTATTAGTGAGCTTCGTTTTACTGTGAGTTTTCCCGATAACCACGGAGAATCATCAAATCGATCGGAGCGGTTATTGCGCTAGTGTTTTACTGCGAGTTTTGGATATAATTTTGTCTTTACAAAGGAGTGATGAGTCAGCCCTAAACCCTAGTTCTTGGGAGGAATTTAATAAAGAGAAGAAAAAAAGAAAAAGTAATGAAACTTGTGGTGGACGCCTGGACGGTGGTGGACCTGGGGGTGTCGGGGAACCGATGATGAAGACACATTTGATGACGTGTAAGCGAATGTGGAGAGCTGTGTCTGCAGTTAATGATGCATGTTATGCTTTCTTGTCAAACAGGGAGCATCATATAACGATGAGTCCTTGTTGATGCTTACCGTACACATGGAGGCTGGAGCACATGATAAGCGATCGGGATCGTCCGTGTTGTACTACTATCAGTCTAGTCTACTACTTCATTAGTACATTTCCATTGGATAAAACTGCTTTACTACTTTTTACCTTTACCCTACCACAGACCACAGAACTTGAATTGGGTCAATTCTAACTTCTAAGTTGTTAACTTTCAAACTTTTAACGTGGCCGTGGGACCATAGGCCCATAGCCATACTAATAAAAAAAAAGGAAGCGATGGGATTAACATGAACCATGGTGGTCGGATATCAGGTAAGCAGCTTCTCTCTTTACAACTATCTTAATCCTAGAAAGGGGCCATCAGAGTGATTCTACCTTCAACTTGTTTCTTGTGTTGGCAAAGAAATGATGGATTCATTCATGCAATTGCATTGCATGGTCATCTTTCCTTTTTATCGGGCAACACAGAGGTTCCCTTTAACGCAGGTTCACACACCATACCATACCAGCTGCAACTCCGCTCGCGCCCAAACTTTACCTCGAATCGACCCCTATGAGGCCATGAAGACAGCGTTGAGTTCGGATCAGGGTTAGGAGCACTATAAGATCAAATCCATAACCCGATTAATTTATTGGTTGTGTTAGGGTTAGGAGCACTTAGAAGTAAAACTCAAACCGGGTTCAAGTCGATCAGTTGCTCTAACATCCCTGATATACCCATATCAGATGTATCGTATCGTATTTTTGGAGTTCTGATATACATGTTTACAGATGTTTTGAGAATCCTCTTTTTTTTCAATAAAAAATACATTTAAAAACATCCCCAGAAATCAAATTTTGAAAAAAAAAAAGAAAAAAAATATATATAAATGTGTGATTTTTAGTATCGATACGCCTATTGATACTTTGAACCATGGTATTAGGTGGGAGACTTTCAAACACGGTAGGGTAAATGACTGAAATAGTATGGAGACTATGTACTCGGAAAATTACCAAATAAGCATTGATTGTTACATTGAAAATAATCATCAATTACAAATTTACAATCCAAACTTTCCTTTTCTAGCTTAACTAACTAGTAATAAGAACTAAGTTCTCTGTAAAACCTATGTATCTCATACTTTCCACCGCTAGTCTCTTAAGCTTTAACGGTATTTTAATTCTTGCAAAGTTGGTTTCATAGATCTCTACTGGGGATAATGCTCAGGTGTTAAAAAACCACCACAGGGTTTCAACTCCGGTATTTCCAGGATGTCCATAGGCCTCAGTTTTGGAATAGTACATATTCAAGGTTTAGAAATACTGAATACAAGGTTTTGCATTTGAACATATTTGTATTTGCACTCTTCTCAAATTGAGTATAAGATGATAACAGCTTCCTCGTCACTTCCAACACAATAGGTTATTGGCCAAGCAAATGTGGTAGTCAGAAATTCTCAAGATTTGGCAAATCCACTTTTAAAATGAGCATATATGAGATTTGGATGGTTGCAGGTTGATGGGTCTGGCCTGTCGCAATCACACTAATTTCCCACATGGGAAAATAGATTCAGTATCATTTCTAGAATTAAATTAAGCTGGAAAATAGAGGTTTTGTTCCAATCCCAGTTAGGAGTGCAAGTCGGACCAAGTAAAATAGGGTTCAGGTAACCCTTAACCCAACCAAGCTGTTGAACCCCCCCCCCCCGCCCAAAATCCTAACCCTAATCAACCCATAATTTTGGGTTTGGGCTGGCCCAATCTCGACTTCTTTTTGCAATCTAATTTCTTAAACTTAACAAGGTTGAGCTAAATTCAGGCAATTGTTGAAAGAAAGCCACGGTTAGATACGCTGATATCACAATTGTTTTTGTTCTAAATATTGGCGAAGAGTCCCTAAGGCTGCATTTGACAGTGGTGTAAATACAAATATGTAAAGTGCAAATGCAGGGTGCACATAAGGCCCCCCAACTTTACCATGGAGAGCCTGCAGTTAGACGGGTTTGATCCCAAGCCTCCATTGTTGAAAAAATGCGAAGTGGCAATCTCAGCTACCGGATCAGCAAAGTAAACCAGAATTTACTCTAAACTCATTTGCACTCTCATACTTTTAAACCAGTACAAATGAAATTGCACTTCAAACAAACCAAGCCTAAATATGATGTTTGAAGAAAATACTGATGGGAATGATATTGTAAACAAAAATTAACAAAACAACAGCCACTGATCCTCTTCGCCAAACTTGGCCAGTTTGAAATGTTAAATAATATTCATATAAATACATGTACTTGGAGCCTGTGGATGTACATCAACATGACTTCAATAAGAGTGATCAGCTGTTCCACCTTTCTGGAGTAGAGAAAACAAAGTCTCATAGAGAAGGGAAGATCTAAAGCCATTAAATATATGAAAAACAAAGCAAAAAAGAGTGACCCCAAATTTTGAGTCCAAAATTTCCAGTGGCTATTAAAGAATGACAATTATGAAATAAATTAGCTCCAATGGAAGAGCTTACCGTTAGTAGGAACAATAAGTACTCGGTGTTTCACTGTATGGACATTGGACAATGGTCCAACAAAGTCTTAAGATGAAAACTTGTTACTATCTGCGCTTATACCTACATGAATGTTTATAACAGCAATTAGAGACTCCTTTGCCACCCAACTACAGTGGAATAATGAACTGCGTTAAAATCAGAAAGGAAATAGTAACAATAAATGAGAAACAAACTAGTGGAGAAAACTCTGTGAACGTTAATAGTTCCTGCTTATTCTACCACGAAATTCACAACCATCTAATCTGTAGGCTTTGATCCTTTTTTTCATCTAATAAACATGAGATAATTGAATAAATCCATTTAAAAAGTAAACATGTTCAGTTTGACCAAAGAGACACGTCTAAGGTCAGAACTACGAAAAATAGCAAACAAATGTTCATTCTCCCTAGTGCCATAGACGGCAGTAATCTACATAATAGTGAAGCCATTTTATGCATCAAACAAAATAATGGAAAACAGAACACAACACCTCATAGGACCAGATATAAAAACTAAAACAAAAATACCACAACAAATAATAAGAAAAAATATGGGAAAGCTGAAAAGCTAGCAGTCTCTGTGAAAAGAATTCTAATTACCTTTTTTTAGGAAAGGTAACAGATTCTTTTAATAAAAGTGAAAGTGCATGAGATGTACAAAACAAAGGGGAGACCCAGGGAATTACACAGGAATCAAACTATCACTATATAAGACATCCAAATAGGCACCTATTTTAGCTAAACCATCTACAACAAAGTTTAAATCCTTGGAATCCAAGTCATAATTGCATTTAGCAGTTTCAGAGCCTCTAGCTTCTGTCAAAAAATGACTCAAACTCCACAGGCCACCCACTTCGTCTCTTAGCCATTTCATGGTATTTGTGGAATCCCCTGCAATAGCTAAATTTTGAAGGCCCAGGGTTATAACTATTCTGATTCCCGTGAGAGCCACCAACACTTCCACCTTGGTAGAGTCTGCGACACCTGTTGGACCACTAAAAGTCTAAATAACAATACCCCTTCTGTCTCTTACTATACCTCCTATACCAGCTGGCTCCTGGATTGCCTAACACACTCCCATTAAAATTTAGAGTAATCCCTCCTTCCCTTCTTATTACTTTCATTCAATTTAAGGATCACACTACCATTTTGGCTAAAAATAGGAGTATATCCATCCTCTTCATGCACCACCCTCAGAATGATTTTCATTCAGTTCAAGGGTTATGTTACTGTTTTGACTAAACATTGGTAAGTCCACTCACTCCCCATGCACCTGTGTCCATACCAAAGTCAGGGTAACTGTTTCCCCCCACCACAGTTTACAATTAATTCAGAAAGCACACAAGGCAAAAATCACCCAATCCAAAGCCTGCACAAATACAGATATCAAGAAAACTGCACGAGTTGAACAAGGAAGCCATGATTTAATTTTAATAATAAGAAACGTTGTCAAAGTCTAATCGAATTGTAAAATCCCAAGGGATAGAAGTCAAATCATGAATCATAAGGTCGCTAAACCAAAAAAGTGCAATAGAAACTTTTAGAAAAATGGAATGATCCATTAACTCAACTTTGCACATTCATACCAAGTCAGTAAAACAAAGTAATTTTCAGTTTCTCATTCATCTCAGTTGTGAATCATAGATTCATAAACCATAATAAATGGTTTCACAATATCGAAATACTAAATAAACCAAGGAAACTTAAGATTTAGGAAACATAATTCATAAGCTTTTTTTTATCAATAAACATAATTCATAAGCTTATTGCACAACTATAACAAGTTCATCTTATAGCCCAAAGCCCCTACAGAGAGCATGACAAAGCACAGGTACCCCCCCCCCCTAACATGTTGCTCCTAATCACATTCCCACCCAGAAGGGAGAAAAGTGACTTAAGAACAAAAAACTACACAAAATTGGACCATATTAAAATTTCATTTATTTCTTCTATCTTTTACATGCATTTCTTCTATCTGTTAAAGAAGAAATATATGAAGATCTCTTTGTAAGTTTCTAACCTCAATTTATAATCATTTTTTTGTTCTTGAAACTACATGAGAATGTCTAGATGTCAAAGAACTTTATTTGAAGCCTAAGAACAAAAGGAAATAAAATTAATATTAATAATTTACTGAAATTGAATTTAGAATCCTTGTCGCGTATCTTCTAATGGGATGCAAACAGATCCAATAGCATTGTGGTCCCATTCAAATCAACTCATGAATAGAATTGATTTTTTATGAGTACATGAATAGCATTGATTTAACAACAGTTATCATAAGCCATAAGCCATAATCCATACCGTGACTTGCTCTTGAATGAATTCTTAGATTTTCTCTTTCCTGCTCCGTTAGTGTTTCTTTTCTGCTTCTTTTCACTCATATCATTTTGGAATAATTCCTTCATCTCTTCTGCCCGTGATTGGTTTCTTTGGGAATGACGTTTTAATGTTTTTCCAGTTTTTTTCACAACCTTTCCAGCATCACGTGCCTTCTTTATGGCCTTTGCTGCTTTTGCTCGTCGATAAGCCACATCAACCAATAATTTTCCTACTTTTTCCTTCTTACTGTTTCCACTTCCCTGCAATTAAAGAAAAATGTATTATTGCTAAACAATAAAAGTTACCTGTCATGAGTACACATAATTCTCAATCACTAATGCTATGATGAAATATTAAACAAATTCAGTCAACAATAAAGATGTTGCAAAAAGTGTGAAATTTAACAAAAGAACTATGAAGGCCACCCTGCATTTGTACCACATACACAACAGGGCAGGTGATCAACAAATGTAAATCTTCGACCTCACAAGCTTAGAGGTCAATGAAAAGATCCAAACAAGACATACATAGAAAGGCAGAAAGCAAATTAATAACCGCAAAACCCAACTCCATGGCATTCACATCCGTAGCTTCATTGCGGCTGTGGTAATGATCTATTCAATCCCCTTGATAAGAAAAGTTCCATAGACATTTATGTTCTCATCTACATAAACTAAACCTCTGGCAGCCAACCTGAATTATTCATTCAGGTAGATTCCAAAACAAGCTAACAGTTCTGAATACGCTATAACTAGATCAGGTGTTACAAGGGTTTATTTTTGGTGGGAGTGGTTGGATCTTTAAGATTGTAACTCTATATTATTCACATTCCACATTCCTTTGCTTTTGCGGAGATTTTGAATATTTGCATTGTCATAAACTTAATAAAAAATACTGTTACTAATCAAAAAATAAAGCTCCACTCCCACTGTGCATGCTAGACTAGGCCCTGTGTACAGATGGACAAACGAAAACCTTCACTTTAAGTACCACCTTAGATATATCCATCTGGCATGATATTCTATGTAGTTTAAAAAATATGAATGGCAACATGAAGAATAGTAGGTGATGATATTGGGCTTAGGGGTGGACACAAACCAAGTTTTTCACGATCTATTCGAGCTCGGCTCGTGTAAAGCTCGATCCAGCTTGATATAAATCAAGCTCTTGCCCAATGAAGCTCAGCTCGTGAAGCTCGCAAGCTCAATCGAGCTTATATTATATATAATGTTTTTTATTTTTTATATGTACTATAATAAATAATTTTTAGAGGTATACTTTTTAATTTCTATATGTATAACAAGAATTCATTTTTATATGTATAATTATATAATATTTTTATATGTGAAATTTTTTACCTGTAAATTTTTTTATTTTTTATATGAAACTTGGCCCATTGTCAAGCTCAAGTCGAGCTCAACTCAGCTTGAATATATGATCTTTTTATTTTTTTACATGTAAATATTCTACGTGTAGCTCAAATAAAATTGTTTACATGTGAAGTTTTTTATGTTTATATTCGAACCAAGTCGAGCTCGAACATATGAGCTTTTTAGTCAAGCCAAATATTCAGCTTGGCTCGGCTCAAATCCACCCATAGTTAGGCTTGTCCAGTCAGGCCAACTTTTTGCTCTCAGATATCTAAATTAGGTTCTAATTGATAGACGCACTATCCTAGGTGACTTAAAAAGAGCACTAAATTGCGAAAATGATCAAAGAGAAAAGATCGTAACTTTGATATTAAATGAACATATGCATGCAGGCACAAACCTCTTCCAACTCATCAGTTTGGTTTTCATCCTCCAACCTTTCTCGAGCTGCTTCCAATCTTCGACGCTTCTTTCGTGGCAGATTTTTCTAAAACCAGACAACAATGTAAACAATGTTACCTACTTGCACAAAATACCATTTGACAAATGGGCCAACGTAGGAATAGCAAGAAATACCTCACGCTCCCGCTTTCTCTTTTCCTTCATTTTTAAGTCTTCAGCTTGTTGTGCACTGATTACCTCGCTTGCAGAGTTCTTGTCTTTCTCCATAGAAGCCTATCAAACATGACTACTAAAATCAAAATGGACACTCACAAGTATAGCACCACAAGCAAGAAATTTCAAGTTCAAGGTGTTAAATTACACAAAGGAAAAATTCAACGTGTTTTCACTGCTAATCTTTTGAGACAATGCAATGTCAATGATATAATGAAATATGATACTTTATTGTCCATATTGTTCTGAATGTTTAAACAATTTAGAAAACATGTTGAAATGGGTATGGTAAAAAGAATAATTGAACAATTTAGAAAACTTACAAACCACACTGAAACTTTGGGAGAGAATAATTGAACAAAGATTACAACTTGAAACAAGTGTATCAATGAACCAATTTGGCTTTATGTCAGGGCGATTAACCATGGAAGCTATATTTCTTTTGAGACAATTGATAGAAAAGTTTAGAGAGAAGAAGAAGAAGAAAGATCTCCATAGTGTTCATTGATCTAGAAAAAAAAAAAGAAAAAACATATGATAGAGTTCCTAGAGAGATAATATGATGAGTCTTGGAAAAGAAAGGGGTACAAAATAGGTATATAGATCTAATTAAGGATATGTATGAGGGGGCAACAACCAATGTTAAAACCCCAATGGGAGAGGCTTCAGATTTTATAGTTACTATGGTTCTTCACCAAGGTTCATCGTTTACCCTTTATCAATTTCCACAGATCCTAGATGATTTGGCTAAACATATTCAAGTGGAAGTTCCATGGTGCATGTTTGCAAACGGCATGTTTTAATTTATGAAAATAATGAAAGGTTAAATGCAAAATTAAGCTTATGGACAATTGCCTTAGAAACAAGAAGTTTTAAAATAAGTAGGACTGAAACAAAGTACATGACATGTAAATTTAGTAATAATAGGAGTGTAAATCAAGATACACTTAGGATTGGAGACCAAGAGATAACTCAGTGTGACCATTTCCGGTACCTTGGTTCAATAATTCATAACAAGGGAGAGATTGAGGAGGATGTTACCCAAAGAATTAGAGCAGAATGGGTCGGCAAAATGGAGGGGTGCATCTGGACTTTCATGTGAAAGGCGAATATCACTTACATTAAAAGGAAAATTCTATAAAACAATTGTGAGGCCAGCTATGTTATATGGAGCAGAGTGTTGGGCAGTCAAGAAACAGGTCCAGAAAATGAATGTGGCGAAAATTCGAATGCTAGCTCATGTGCAAAAGATATGTTCTTCTCACTAGTGTTTGTGTAATATAAACTCTCCATTCTCCACTGTAACTTTTAGTTTATTGGTTTGGGAAGCAAGAACGGGGACTGAAGCCACATGATGGGTGCGAGATCACAATTTCTAAGAGAGAAGAGTATGGAGAACTTCGTGGAGGCTAATCGATGGAGAAGGCATCTCAAGGTGGAGGCAAAGAGTTTTCCGCTGGAAGAACTAAGAATCAGAGGGCAGATTAGCTTGAAAATCAGGGAGGATAAGCTGGCTACAGTGATGTTGGTAGGATTGAACGTGGTAGAATGGTTCATAGAGTTTGTAGTTGCAGCGAGTGCAAAAGGAAAGGACAGATGTTGGAAAGAATTTCTAACAGAGATGGGAAGGAGGTATGTGGTGGAAAGCAGGAAGAACTACAAAGGTTTCTTCATAGCACTATCAAAGAAGTATGATAATGCTAGAAAAAAGATGGTATGCTTTCCAGAAGGGAGGAAGAGCCAAGGAGGAATAGAAATAGTCAAGGCTCTGAGAGAATTTATCTCTAGAATGAAGTTGAGACAGGAAAAAGGTTCAGAAAAGAAGGTAAGAGAGGCTCCCCTGAAGACAGTAGTGAACTTTGAGCCTCCCAACAAAACCGCCCCTACCTTAGTGCAAGATGATAATAGAGCAGCATTATTAACATCAGTGGCAGCAGGAGAGTGGTCCAATAAACTTATTGTTGAAGTCGATAAACCAGGTAGAAACTGGGAGGAGGTTGCTGATTTGGTGACAAAACAATTAAAGATGACGACCACATATGTATTAACTCCTTTTGAGAGGTGCAAAGCTCTGTTAGATCCCCTGGACAATATACCAGAAGTTGAGGCAGTATGTGTACAAGATAAACTGGGGTCAGTGAACATTTTCAGGTGGTCTCCGTCATCAAACTCGAAGGAATCCTCGGGGATGGATGGAGTAAAAGTGCGCGTGGTGGGTCTACCTTTCCATCCGTGGAAGGATGAAGTAGCAGAAGCCATCGCAACATTGTGTGAAGCAAAACTGGCTGGTGTCTTTTGGGGAGATCTAAGGTCTGCAGCAATTTTACTGAATGGTGTCAAGCCTGAGGAGATTCCCAGGAAAGTGAACCTGAGAGTTGAAGGAGCTTTCATAGCAGTCTGGCTGACTTTCTCCATTGAAGCTGAAATGTGGAAGGAAGCTCGTAGGGAGGAAGATGGTCAGGTTGAAGAAGAAACCTTACGTGGCAGTAAGGGGTTGGTCAAGCTACAAGGAAAACACAGATACACAAAAGAGGGCAAGCAAGCTTTTGAAAATTCGAAAGCTTGGCTGAAGATGGAAGGCAGTAGATGGAGACCTGACAGGTCATATGCGTTAGCAGTAACAGATGGCGTGCAAGCTACCTCATTAAATGCACCTGTGCGGCTGAGAAAAGGTGAGAAGGGGGTAGGGAGTGGGGGAGCTAAAATGCTGGATCCATTTAAAGAGATGGGCCTTCTTAAAGAGATGGGCCCCAGTTTCTAAAAGTTGGGCCATTTAATAACAGAAGGGATAAAATGATTAGTGAACCAACCTCTGTGGGCCTATCTAAAGCGGGAGTGCGGCAGGGGGAACACTTTGTTAAAACACTAATTGGGCCGAATAATATCAGCCCATCGAAAGGGACCACAGGGATTTTAAAAGGTCACGTGACTAGGGGGTTACAGTTGATAGATGGTAAACACCATTTATCTTCTCCTTCGTTGAGCTCAACCGACAGAAAACCACGACCAACGAAGAGAGCACCTTCTGGGAACTCCCTACAGTGGGTTGCGTTAGGAAAAATGAACAGACCGTCACCTGAAAAACGCAACCCAAGGAGCGTCAGACGAAGCGATTGTGAAGAGCAAAAGCAACATGAATGCTTTGAGGAAGAGTTCAGCGATACTAATTCAGACTATACAGTGAACCTAGGGAGTATCGATCTGAACAGCTCGAGGAACATTTTTTATGAAGATAGCTTGGGTACAGAGGTGCTTTTTCAAGAGAACAAGGAAGAAGATGATTTTCAAAGAGTTGAAGACGATGTGAATGTATTGGATCGTTCGACAAAAGATGAGGTTCAGGTGCTGCCTGCACTCGTAAAGGAAGTCAATCCAGTAGATCAGGAAAATCAGGATATGAGGTCTGTAAGGAAAAACCCTAACACTTTGATCTGTAACGTAAGACCAGAAGAAGGGAGACACGGGAAGGATAGTTCAACTGTTAAAGACGACAGGGTATTGACTCCTACTATAAACTCTCTACGGCAAAATCAACCTCAAGGAACAGACTTGGGCCTTTCTCCTTATGCGCACCCCCCTCCCTTGAATGATGGCCCATTGATCACCAACAACACAGGTATGATTGTCCATTCGGTTTTGGTTACTAATGTGCCTTCTGTGCTTGTAGCAGATACTCCAGCATCCCAAGCGGAAGTTCCAGTCGCGGGGAAGAGAAGAGAGATTGGCAGTCCTGAGAATGAACTGAGAAAGGAAGGAGTGGCCCCTAGAGAGAGACAGGAGGAGGAATTAGAGAGTATATGGGATATGATATGTGAGTTGTTGGAGTACAAAGTAAAGGAGGAGGAGTTAGATCAAAGGGAGAGAGAAGAAATTTCTCAAAAGAAGGACTACCACAGAAGTCCTAAGTTGGGGGGAGGGGAGGCAAAAACTAATGCATCATCTAGGAAGGCTGAGGGTAATAATAAAAGGAAAAAGAAAAAGAGATCAGAAGTGGAGAGGTTGATTTCAGATATTGAGGGTGACATTGAATTTAGAGGGAGAGGGGGAAGAAGAAAGATTCCGCTGTAAGGTAGAATTTTTTGGGAAGGGTTTTTTTTGAAAAGAAGTGTTCAATGAAAATCATCAGTTGGAATGTGAGAGGACTGGGAAGCGAAAGAAAAAGAAGGGCCATCAAAGACTTGCTAAGAAGAGAGAAACCGGACATAGTGTTGATACAGGAGACCAAGTTGGCAGAAATGGATAAAAGGTGGGTGAGAAGTGTATGGAGATCAAGAGGAGTTTGTTGGACATTGGCCCCTTCCTGGGGAGCCTCTGGAGGTCTAGTAACACTATGGAGGTCTAGTAACATTATGGAAGGAAGTTGTCCCCTTCCTTCTCTAGAGCTATTTGGAGTTGGATTTTCTCTTTATTTGGGTGTAGGTGGAATCTGTCCATAGACTTAAGCCAACTGTTCGATCCCTCCTTTTTTGTGTGGCCTACAAAAAAAGGAAAATTGATGTGGAGATGTATTAGAGCAGCTGCATTGTGGACAATTTGGGAAGAAAGGAACGCAAGGATTTTCAAAGAAAAAGAAAGAAGCATTCA